CCCCCCCAGACCACACACACATGTGCATTTCAATTACTTAAACATTACCGGAAGGACTATGAAGTAGTCTCTACTCTCACAGGTTCCAAAGCGTGTTGGCATTGTATGTGCTTTGCCAACTGGCCCCCCTGTGTTTTTGGGGTCACTAAAGTAAATGGAAACCATCCAGGAGAGCGATCCCCGGTGTTACAGCATAGTGGGCAAACATCGGGTGCAGAAGGCCAGTGGGTGGCTGGTCCTGTCAACAACCCCTCAAAGCCTTGTTCCATGTCTTTAGGCCGATCAGGTGCAGCACATGGTTGTCCGTCTTGTCAGATCTTCTACAGCGGTGGGCGGTATTCACTGCAAAGAGAGAGGGCCACTTTCTGCATCTATGAATGTAAAAGCAGAAGGGGCCCACGGCCATGACACACCGCACTTACAGCAGGGGTCTCAAACTCAATTTTTAGTAGGGGGCCACTGGACACATTTTTTAGTCCCGTGGGGGCCGCTACTAGATACCGTACCAGTGTTAATGTCTGTACATGTTACAAGCGGCAACTGTCACCCATTCAAATTAATGATCAGGTGACCGCTGCTGTATGTACACGCCTGCACACCGCATGTAATAATATGTGAAAGGATTACATGCAGTTAGGAATCAATCACTATCCCTGGATACATAATTGTGTATCCAGGGATAGTGATTGTTTTTGTAACTGCATGTAATCATATCACATACAATTACATGCGGTATGCAGGCGTGTACATGCAGCAGCTGTCACCCATTCAAATTAATGATCGGGTAACAGTTGCTGCATGTACACACCACATTAGGGATTCCTGCTGCAGGAAAACACAAGTTTGTGACACAGGAATCCCTAATCGCACCTGAAATATAGGGGCCAAATATACACACAGAAAAATACAACCCCCCCTGCACACACACACAATACACTTCACCCCCCCTTCTAAGCCCCCCACACACATTTAATACACCCCTTCTCCCCTCCGTCCAAAGATCTAGCGGTGATCTGCACTAGACCTTACTAATGATCCATCATTCGGCCGGAGCTCAGAACTGACAGAGCCCCAGCCAATATCTGGGACAGGAAGTCTGGTTTTCAATCCTGTGGGACTGTCCAGTCTGGCATGAAGCCTCATTGCCCATCTCCCGGAAGTGGTGCGATTAGACATGGCACTGCTTCCAGGATTCAGGAAATGGCACTGCTGTAAAGTGTACTTTGGCACCATCTGCTGGTCAGAGTTGATATCACAGTCCCCTCTCTGATTTCCATAACCTAACACCATGGAACTGTGTATTGCATTCTGATATCTTCTAAAGAGAAACAGTAGCTGCTTGGAAGAGGCTTGCACATATAGCAGCACATGCCACCACCTGTGTGAAGATCATGAGAAGAACCTCAGACCTCTCACCATTGTGCACTGTGTGGCTCCTGGAACCTCTTACCCCTCTCCTCAGACCTCTCACCATTGTGCACTGTGTGGCTCCTGTTACCTCATACCTCTCTCCTCAGACCTCTCACCATTGTGCACTGTGTGGCTCCTGTTACCTCATACCTCTCTCCTCAGACCTCTCACCATTGTGCACTGTGTGGCTCCTGTTACCTCATACCTCTCTCCTCAGACCTCTCTCCATTGTACGCTGTGTGTGCGCTTCCTGGAACCTCTTACCCCTCTCCTCAGACCTCTCACCATTGTGCACTGTGTGTGCCTCCTGGGACCTCATACCCCTCTCCTCAGACCTCTCACCATTGTGCACTGTGTGTGCCTCCTGGGACCTCATACCTCTCTCCTCAGACCTCTCACCATTGTGCACTGTGTGTGCCTCCTGGGACCTCATACCCCTCTCCTCAGACCTCTCACCATTGTGCACTGTGTGTGCCTCCTGGGACCTCATACCCCTCTCCTCAGACCTCTCACCATTGTGCACTGTATGCCGATCCCTGCACTGGCTTCCATCCCCCCTGCCCCCCTCTGCCGATCCCTCCACTGGCTTCCACTCGTCCAAAGGATAACATTCAAAATATTAACAATCAGTTACAAAGCCATCCACAACTCCGCCCCCGGCTATATCTCAGACCTTGTCTCAAAGTATCACCCTAACCGCCGCCCCCTCCACTCTTCCCAAGACCTCCTGCTTTCCAGCTCCCAAGTCAACTCCTCCCATGCTCGTCTCCAGGACTTCTCTCGAGTCTCTCCCATCCTCTGGAATTCTTTACCCCAACCTGTCCATCTCTCGCCCACCTTGACTGCCTTTAGGCGATCCCTAAAGACTCATCTCTTCAGGGAAGCCTATCCCACCTCAACCATTACGCTCTCAAACAATTTATCCCCACACAGCTACCTCCTCATGTATCACTTCCCCCTCCCTTTTAGATTGTAAGCCCTCAGGGGCAGGGCCCTCCTTACCGTCTTGTCTTGAATTGTAATGTGATTGTAATGTCTTCCTTATATTGTACAGCGCTGCGCAAACTGTTGGGCTATATAAACCCTGTATAATAATAATAATAATTTCACATTTTTACCACTCTCACAGTAAAAAACCCTGTGATCATGTCTCCTCTTAAGCGTCTCTTCTCTAAGGAGAACAAATTTAATTTTTGCAGGCGTTCTTCATAACTCAGACCCTCCACCCCCCTTATTAGTGTGGTTGCCCTTCTCTGAACTTTCTCTAGCTCACGAACATCCCGCCTAGGGATTGGTGACCAAAACTGAACCGCAGACTGAAGTTGGGGCCTGACCAATGTTCTGTAAAGTGATATAATTATATTTCTATCCCATGAATAGATCTCTCTCTTAATGCAAGATAATAAACCACTGGCATTGTTGGTTGCAGCTTGCCACTGCATGCTATTGCGGAGCCTGTGGTCTATGGAAAAAATGAGGATGGCACTGTGTTCAGTATAACTTCCCATTCTCCTTACAATGTTTAAAGTTCATTGCACCTTATTGTCACAGTGATACATATTTCCAGATTCCTCAGTCCTGTTGTCTATAGGGCATTGTCTATATAGTATTACAATAATCAAGGAGAACTATGATTTGAATGAAAATCGCTCATCCTCATAGTTGGAGCCGACGTGTGACAATGAAACTGTCACACGTCGGCTCAATAGATCGGGAAGTGAGCGAACACATACCGTCGCTCGCTCACTTCTCGATCCTGTCCCTGCAGAGAGCCGTGACTGTCAGTCATGGCTCCCCTCAGGGATTCCCACCCTCCACGCTCCGATCCTCCAGCGCTGAGTGGAGGAACGGATGGGGAAGGGAGCGGGCACAGCTGGCTCTGCCTCTTGATAAGCAGAACCAGCTGTCACTCACTCAGCTGAGTGGATCTCGACAGCATTGTCGGGATCCGTCCTGGCTGCGGCGGTCTCAGTATACCGTGACCTGTAGCTAGTGATGTACTGAGCTTTGGGTCACAGGATGACACTAGTATATGTCCTCCTGTGACCCTTAAGAGAACTATGGGGAAAAACATTTACCCCATAGTTCTCTTTTAAAGGTGGCGATTGCAGAAACTAACTATAAAGCCAAATTCCGTCTGCCATGGGTGTACTGCATAGTTTATAATAGGGGTGGGGCCGGCAATCGCCACAATCCAGATGTGAGGAAACTACAAATCCATCATTCTTCTGCCTTTGGAAGTCGTGGCTGTCAGTTTTGCAAAGCCCCATGGGACCTGTCATTTCACAACAGCTGGAGGGTCCAGGTTGTCTGTCCCTGGTCTGTATAATGCCTTTTTCTTCTTTTATTTAGGTTATTCTGCTCTATTTTCCATTCTTTACTTTTTTACTGACTTTCCTTTTTTCTCTTTTTTTGTTGTTGTTGTTTTTCATGATATTTAAGCTGTGTCTTGATGTAAGAAGGTCGGCTTCCTTTTCTTTACTATCTTTCTTAATTTTTTCCTTACCTTACGCCCGTGATCACCAAACAGCATTCTGTTTCATCCAAAATAACCAAAACATAAACATATTTTTTTTTTATTAATAATTATCTTTTTATTTTCTTTTTATACATTTTATTATTCAGTGCTCTCAGCTCAATGGATTTTCAAACCAGCTTATAAAAAATGCACATTATTCTTTTTTTGTGATTTGTGTTTTTTTTTTAACAATGTTTCAACCCCCTTTCTTCATTCTTTTAAATAAATTATCACCTTTTCCTCCAATGCCGAGTAAAACCCTTTTGTGAAGAAGGGCCTTGACAAAAAAAAAAAAAGAAAAAAGAAAGAAAAAACTTTGTTTGCTTAGGCTCTGAACAAACATAAATATGCACATATTTATACCCACACAAATAAAGAATAAATACTTCGAAATAAGTTAAAACAACAGTTCAAAAGATCTCGCCAGGTGTTTTTTTTTGGTTTTTTTTAAGATTTTTGTTCGCTTTTTTTCTTTACATAAATGTCCATTTTTTTAACCTCTGCTGACTCTTTTTTTATGTTTAATTTGAGAGATCCTACAACATTCTACTAAACACAGCCAAATAAACCACACAGAACCTAGTAACAAATAACTAACTAAAATTTGGGGATTTCGTGGGCGGGAGACGTCGCTCCCCCGCCTCATCCCGACTACGTTATTTTATTTATTAGAAAATAAACACAAAAAAGCAATTAAATAATATTAAAAACACATCCACTGGGGCATTAACCTAAAAAATAAACGAAAAAACGATTTAGAGAACAGACGCTAACTTAACTATTGAACAACCAAATTGTTTTTCTTCTAGCTATTATTTTGCTACACGATGATTCAATGCCAAGCTAGTTCAACTTATATATTATGAATGTTTGCTATAAATTAAGGCTGCAGTCCCACTTTTCATTTTGTTGTCGGAATGTGTATCGAGTGTACCTAACAGAGAAGAGCCGGCTCAAGGCTTTCTGGTAGGGGAACTGAAACTATGGCTGTAGGTGACTTGGAGAATACCAATAGGTGACCTAGGGGTGACTTGGAAAATACAAATAGGTAAACTATAGGTGACTTGGAGAATATCAATTGGTGACCTATAGGTGACTTGGCCAACTCCAACAGGTGACCTATGGGTGACTTGGTGAATATCAGTAGGTGACATATAGGTGACTTGGCCAATACCAACAGGTAACCTATAGGTGACTTGGCCAATTCCAACAGGTGACCTATAGGTGACTTGGCCAATTCCAACAGGTGACCTATTGGTGACTTAGCCAATACCAATAGGTGACCTGGTCAATTCCAACAGGTGACCTATGGGTGACTTGTCCAATACCAACAGGTGACCTATAGGTGACTTAGCCAATACCAATAGGTGACCTGGTCAATTCCAACAGGTGACCTATGGGTGACCTATGGGTGACTTGTCCAATACCTACAGGTGACCTATAGGTGACTTGACCAATACCAATAGCTGACTTGACCAATACCAATAGGTGACCTGGCCAATTCCAACAGGTGACCTATGGGTGACTTGTCCAATACCTACAGGTGACCTATAGGTGACTTGGCCAATACCAATAGGTGAGCTATGATTGACTTGGCGAATACTACCTTTTCAAAAATTTGTTTTGCTTCCTAAAAAAAAGACGGCCATGAACAGAGTAGATTCGAGAACGAGATGTAGAATGATATTGTTCTCTAAGTTATTATGAACCAGGAACAGATTGGCCTCTCTTTCCACAAAACCCTATAATATTAGATAACCGCCTTTATCCAAAGGTAGCACTTGATTGCCCAAAACACACCATGAGCCGGTCTACTTATTTTTCTCGGGGGATTTTTTTCTCTTAATTTTTTTTAATCCCACTTTTTTTAAAATGGTATTTTTC